GAAGCGGTCGGGAAGGTGGGAGACAGAAGACGCTTGCCTACGTCTCGATGGGTCCCCAAATCCCCACCCAGCCAAGACCGAGTCTCTCCTCTTCGCTACCCCCCTTCGCTCCCACCCCAACTCGGCCCCTCACCAAACGGAGCTGGCTGGTCTCGTCGTAGGAGAGGAAGCTGAGGATGCTCTCGATGGCCACAATGGGCAGCCCCACCAGCGTGTTGCTCTGCGGGAGCTGCTCCAGGGACGGCGCTTCCCCCCGGGGCTGGGGCAGAGGAGGGGGGGAGAGCCGCGCCGAATCCATGGCGCCTCCTTCCCCTTCCGACAGGAGCCGCTCAGCCGCTACAATTGCCGCCATCTTGGGGCCTATTCCCTTCCTCGACTCCGGGAGGGGGCACTTCCTGTGGCAACGTTACCGCCTCCTTCTTCGGCGAGACAGTTAAAGGGACAGGAGTCTCTCCTCCCTCCAGCTTCTGGGTCGACTTGCCAAGAGTCTCTCGTACTCCGTAGTCTCAGGTTTAAGCTGCTAGGCTTCCGTGCTCTCTCCAAGCCCGTCCCAGACACATTTCGGCTATTGGTGGTTATCGAAGGGCGTATTCAAACATGCAGGCATATGCCAGCACAATTTCTCTTCTCTTGACTTCAGTTAACTGGCACAGTGATGCCGCCGGGCAGAGCTTTGGAGAAGTCAATAGAATGTACAGGACGACCCGCAAAATACAGCGCAACCAGGGTTCTGAACGATGTGACCCCTGATAGAAAACCCTCACTAATATCAGGAAAGCTGCAGTAGCCTAATTCTCTGTGTTTGGAATGAACGCCTTTTATGATTACCAAGAGTCAGACCACGCAACCTATATACAAAGATTCACATGGAATCCCTCATGTATGCTGGTGTGTGGGCAAGAGAAACTCAAGGCAGTAAGTAATGAAGCAGTGCAGTCCAATTTGAAAAACAACACAAAGCCTCTTTACAGCCTTCCTGTGCTGTGAATAATCTTTGCTTACGAAACGTTAGTTGTCACTTAGCTAACTTTTCTGGTTGAACTGGTTTGCAAGTTGAATTACAAGGTTTTGCAATTACGATGCCTGAATAATTCATAGTTCCTAGGAAAGCTATGTGTGACACTCATGAATGACTGGATTCTTTAGATATGTAATCACGGTGTGGCTAATTGCAGTATCATTTAGGCAAATGGATGTGCAGCCTCTACCTGTGAAAGTAGAACATCCTGTTAAAATGCCAGGAAGATAAAGTCAGTATCAGAAATTGTTAATTAAAGGTAGTTTACAGGGTCTGTAAGTCCTAATCTATTAAAGGTGGCATTGTAAACATGCATTAGTTTGGGATATTCCTTCTCTTAATAAACTATCTCTTCTGCTTCATTACATCCACAAATACAAAACCCTTTACATTTAAAATTTTTGGGCCTATTGTCCTTTTTGTTTAGGAAGGTGGTGCTACAAACAGGTTCTTATTGCAAATGTTTAAATATTTAGCTAGTAAGATGTTCACACACTCTGGAAGCACAATAGATGATCTGACAATTGGCACAAAAACAGAAATGAGAAGGGAGCTTCTTCACTCCTGCTTAATAGCTACAGTAGAAAACCATCTACTCAGGCAACCCTGCGTCCAATCAAGATCAGAGATACTGTGCTGGGAATTTATTTATTTAGAAAATGTATATAGCCACCCATCTGAAGTACATAACTCTGGGCAGCCAACAATGCATACAATGTAATCCCCCAACCAAGCCATTCTCAACTGTTTTATCCTGGAGGAAAGCTTGAAATAATTGTCAGATCTCAGGGAACCCCTGCATAAAAATATTACATCTACAGCTAGCATTGCACAGTGTGCAAAATTTATTTTCTTAATAATCTCTCATGGAAACCTTAGCGAAGCAGCAGGCCAGAAGCTGAGGCATGGCACATAAACATTCCAATACTGCAAGGCATTGTGCAGTGAGTGAAGATTAAAAAAAACTATAGTACAAAGCAAACAAAGTAACTGAGACACCACATAACAATTCCATAAAACCCATACATGTATTGATTATGGTAGAGGAGACACCTTTAAATAAGCACCAATGTATAATTATACCTGATTTTTATTAATGCTCTTTAACAGTATTAGCACCTTAGGAGATTGTTTTATTACTTGACTCACTATTAAAATTTCTTGAGAGGGAAAGCCTGTTCATTAGTTACCTGTGCCCTCCTCAAAAAGTAATCTGGAAACTTTTGTATCTGTATCGTTCTTTAAAAATTCTGAAACTCAGAACATAGATAAAATTAACCCAGGTATAAGTCATTTGGTATTGTACATGACATATAGTTGATACTTTCCCCTTCTTTCTGGAGGGTGAGGGCTGTATTAGCACTCTTTAAGTAACCTGTTCGTCATCACTATAATGTACAGGTAGTCCCTGGGTTAAGAACACCCAGTTTACAGACAACCCATAGTTAAGAATGTAGCCTATTGTAGCAAAATTCAGGTTAAATATACGATTTGAGTTAAATACACAATGGTTTGAGTTCATTACACAATACTATTTATACAGTATTATACAATAATACTGTTCTGGCTTAC